TACAACATTACACCTTCAAGCAGCCGAGCCTGTTGGCAACAGACCCAACACAATCAGGCATAAGTGTACCTACCAACCGAACTAGCTGGCACACACACACATACACACACACACACACATACATACACATGCGTGCATGCAAGGATGCGCGCGTACACACACACACCATTGGACCATTGGACGCCCATCGCCGGAGGCGATGATAGCGATGCTACAGCAGAACCGCCGTCTTAGCAGGTTCCTTAGGAATGAAGATGTAATAGTTTCGGATCAGTTCGGGTTTGTACACGGTCGGAGCACAGTTGACCAACTGATACATTTAACGGCTAGCGCCGCCAAGAGCATGGACAGCAGCCAGGAGTATGATGTGGTCTTCTTGGATTTTGCCAAGGCATTTGATCGCGTCCCGCATTCTACCCTTCTGGCCCTTCTACAACCACTATGCAACCCAACGGCTACTACTTGGTTTGCAGGTTACCTTGAAGCTCGCAAGTTACAGGTCAAAGTTGGCGAAGACCTTTCCCCCCTCGCCCCTATCTCGGCGGGAGTTCCTCAAGGTTCCCACCTTGGCCCCATCCTATTTCTCCTGTACATTAATACCCTCCCGAGATCAATCCCTGATGGCAACAGGACGGAAACATACCTCTATGCTGATGATACTGCGCTGGGGTTATCCCGACCGCCAGCAGCAGCACCTCAACAGCTCCAGTCAGCAGTGAACATGGTGATGGACTGCTCTGCTACATTTGGTGGCAGGTTTAATGCCGCTAAATCCGTGCGTGTTGTATTCGGCAAACTTGACCCCGCCCCGACTCCTGCCCCAGCACTGCGTGTGGATGCTGCAGACCTATGTCCCTCGACTACCCACCGCCATCTAGGAATCACCCTGGATCCCCGCCTGTCTTTCCAGACCCACATCAATAGTGTCACCTCCAACTTTCGTCGTCGCGTTGTTCTGCTATCCTACATGTCACCCAATCTGACCCCTGCTCCCATTGCCCGCCTCTACAAAGGATACGTCCGTCCCTCCATTGAGTATGCTTCACCTCTGTGGAATAACAAACTGACCGCAGGAAATATTGACACTTTGGAACGATTGCAAGCACGCGTGGCCAGGCAGTATTTACACCGTCGGAAAGTGCCCATTCCTCATGGCATGGAGAACGTGTTTGAAGCTGCTGAATGGGAAAGTCTTGCGTGGCGGCGGCATATACATTGCCTCAAACTGTTTTACCATTTCACCCGCCAATACCCGGAAACCCTCAATAATCTCAACATAGTTCTATCCAAGAGTGCACGACGTCCCCACTTTTACCTCCTGCCCACTCACACTGGTCCCTGTTTCCGATCCACTCTACTACATTCCATGATCACCACGTCGAACTCCCTGCCTACCGAGACTGATATCTGAAACCCGTGGTGTATTTAGCCGGCACGTTAAGTCCCATTTCCACAGGTATAGATTCCATCCTCGAGGTTTTCTCACTTCCTGATTACCCCCCCCCCCTTCTTTACCAGTACCCTTTTCGCTTGCTTCTACTCAGACTTCTTATTTAACCTCTTCACATTAATCTTTTTTTATCGTAATATTTTCTTCCTTTTAAGAATTGCACCCTATTGTACACGCATTGTACACGTACAGTCGTCCCTCTCTAATCCAGCACTTGTTTATCCGGAACCCTTGCCAACCGGCGCACTTTCTGACGAAACGGATTTTTTCGTTCAATTCCTACATCTTAATCCGGCACTTGAATTCCGCCTCCGGCAGTGACTTTTTGAAACGAATCGCTCAAACTGCACGTTGTTTGATTTCATAATCCGGCAGTCGTAAATCGACTGTGCGTGTGTGTGCAAGAGTACGTATACATGTGAACATGTTCTCTGTTTTACTTAATCACTGTGTATATTCCTGGAGAAAAGTTGAGAATATAAAGCCGTGCACCAAGTACTGGGGTCGACATGGAAAACCCTGCGTTTTGACGTATGATACATGCATGCAATTGGGTAGGGCCGGGTCAGAGGGCAGGATTTCTTAATCCAGCACCCTCGTTAATCCAGCGGAAAATGCCGTAGCAAAAGGTGCCGGATTAGAGAGGGACGACTGTATATTTATTCTCGGAGACCCCCTTGATTTAGGCTTCGGCCTTTGGGGAATCACTCAAATAATAATAATTATTATTATTATTATTAACTGGCTTGAGGGAAAGAGACACATATAGAATAATAATAATAATAATAATAATAATAATAATTAAATATTGCGACAGAGCTTTCGGCCATATTTTCAATTCATTGCATTCCCAACTCATCACAACCACGCGCTCTTCAGCCGAACCATACAGACACCAGCAAGGACCCTTCCGTTGAGAGATAATATTGCTCCACGCCTCTAGACAGCTGTTTCGCTCCCTGTCGGAGCTCATCAGTAGAGGATGATAATGATGATAATGGAGGAATGATCATTCTTATACACCAGAAATGGCGCAAGTGCGCGCTTTCCACGTATATCAATGGCATATGCAAGCTGCTAAAATGGTAAAGTGTGAGAACAGCGATAAATAATCATAGTACGCGCTCATTGGTGGAGAAACACACCACACAAGCGACGAAAATCTTACTCGGAATACTGATGCCAATGGAAAGTACATATATGTTGTTTATTATTATGATGTTGCAATGTCCATGTATGCAGGCGAGGCGAGACTCACCACCGAGATCCCCCAACGCGACAGGCTCGGTTGCCGTTCAGGATTCACACCGACCTGTCCGCCCGTCAACAGGATCGACAGCGAGAGGCCCCACTGATGCCGATGTCGATGCACACCAGGAAACTTGTAGTCGTGAGTGTGATACTAACAGGTCTAGTAGCAACCACTGACAAACGAGAGGCCACCTGGGGCATTCACTCCAGTCAGGGATGCTTGGTCGACGCTTCGTATCAGCAGCTCAGCTCAGTTTGATCAAAGATGTTGCAGATGTGTCTTGCTTTCCTCCTTCCTTCTTCACCGACTCGTCTTGTCATCTCTCCTTCTTTCTTCACCGACTCTTCGTGTCCACTCTGCTCTGCCACTAACGGCGCATTAAAACTTCAGAACTAAATATTGCGACAGAGCTTTCGGCCATATTTTCAATTCATTGCATTCCCAACTCATCACAACCACGCGCTCTTCAGCCGAACCATACAGACACCAGCAAGGACACTTCCGTTGAGAGATAATATTGCTCCACGCCTCTAGACAGCTGTTTCGCTCCCTGTCGGAGCTCATCAGTAGAGGATGATAATGATGATAATGGAGGAATGATCATTCTTATACACCAGAAATGGCGCAAGTGCGCGCTTTCCACATATATCAATGGCATATGCAAGCTGCTAAAATGGTAAAGTGTGAGAACAGCGATAAATAATCATAGTACGCGCTCATTGGTGGAGAAACACACCACACAAGCGACGAAAATCTTACTCGGAATACTGATGCCAATGGAAAGTACATGTATGTTGTTTATTATTATGATGTTGCAATGTCCATGTATGCAATAATAATAATAATAATAATAATACAGTCGTCCCTCTCTAATCCGTCACCTTTTGCTACGGCGTTTTCTGCTGGATTAACGAGGGTGCTGGATTAAGAAATCCTGCCCTCTGACCCGGCCCTACCCAATTGCATGCATGTATCATACATCAAAACGCAGGGTTTTTCCGTGTCGACCCAAGTATTTGGTGCACGGCTTTATATTCTCAATTGTTCTCCGGGAATATACACAGTGATAAAGTGATAAAGTAAAACAGAGAACATGTTCACATGTACTCTTGCACACACACGCACACACACCTGAAAATTGGCAGGACACTATTCCTTGCTAAAATAAGAAAGTATGGTTGACTGCTTAGCCGTTGTCTCCTGGACAACATTGACCAGACTGGCCTAGCCTGGCCCGGCAAGGAGTGCACCTGTACGGTCGTACTGCCGGATTATGAAATCAAACTACGTGCAGTTTGAGTGATTCGTTTCAAAAAGTCACTGCCGGAGGCGGAATTCAAGTGCCGGATTAAGATGTAGGAATTGAACGAAAAAAATCGGTTTCGTCAGAAAGTGCGCCGGTTGGCAAGGGTTCCGGATAAACAAGTGCCGGATTAGAGAAGGACGACTGTAGTAGAAGCCATAGCAACTTGTGCTGGGATTGCACCATTCAACAGCTTGCAAGGCTGAAGAATTGACCGCCACTATTCAGCCTGGTCTACACCACACAGCTATGAAGTGGCTTTTTCTGGCCAGTGAATCCCTACTTTTTGGTCTTTTTTATTTTATTTTTTATTTATTTATTTTTTTCCCGCATACACATCACACCACATACTCCGGCATGCACTGGCTGTTGGTAACCACCCAGGAGAATGAAAGAAAAGTCAGGAAGAGGCTGAGAAAGAGAGCACCCACACACACGCGCACACGCGCACACACACACACACACACACACACACACACGCGCGCGCACACACACACACGCGCGCACACACACACACATACTGGTACGTAAACATGCGCGCACAGAAGCGATATTCGGAAACCATAAGTGGGTGTCTTTCCACTGGACCTAGGTACTTTCCACAACACCGATTTGGCAAAGATGTGAGCATGACGTGCATGTTGGTATATGCGAGTGTGAAATCCCCATCAGACTCCAATCCCCCATGTGTACTGTACATAAGCTAAAACATGCGTGTTACAAATGAATAGAGTGCCCCCAGTGTACGCCTGTACGGCGATCACAACGGAGTGGTCACAACTGCATTGCAACAAAAGGATATGTGTATACAGCCACATTCGAATAGGGCATATAGCTCAGTGGTAGAGCATTCGACTGCAGATCGAGAGGTCCTTGGTTCAACTCCGAGTGTGCCCTTTTAAAACCTTTTTGTTATCCTCTACCGTACAAAGTTTTTTCATCAAGCACGTTTTCGCAATGAACTTTGTGGTCAGCAGAGTGGCGCAGCGGAAGCGTGCTGGGCCCATAACCCAGAGGTCGATGGATCGAAACCATCCTCTGCTAATGTTTTTTTCTTCTTTTAACTTTTTCATACAAGCACGGAGACACAACTTTTCTCGGAAGAAGTCTACAAACTTACAGATGGAAAACCTCAGGAAGAAGATGAAGTGTGATCCAGTTCACAGCTAACAGTGATTCTGGCTGAAGACCGGGTGCAGACAATCCCTCTAAACTTCCCACTACATCTGCTTCCTCTCAATTTCTGTGACAATTCGAGAGTTTGGGTTCAAAACATGAATTTAACTTATAAACAGACCCTATCCAGTGCAATGTCATTTTCAGCCAGGCCCCATAACCCAAAGGGTGGCTTGTATTTCGAAAGTTAAAAACCATCCTCGGCTAAACAGCCTTTTCTTTCTGTCTTTAAAAATACTGAGCTCACCCGAGTTGAAAGACGTGAGTTGTTACTACTTGTATTAGCAACCAGCCTGGCGTAGGTATCACGGTGAACCACCCTGCTACACCAGTGCAGTGCATTGGTAGGTATCACGGTGAACCACCCTGCTACACCAGTGCAGTGCATTGGTAGGTATCACGGTGAACCACCCCGGCTACACCAGTGCAGTGCATTGGTAGGTATCACGGTGAACCACCCTGCTACACCAGTGCAGTGCATTGGTAGGTATCACGGTGAACCACCCTGCTACACCAGTGCAGTGCATTGGTCTGTTTCACCACTGCAGCAAAAATAATATTTTTTCGGCCTTCCGTCTGCGCCATGCCAAGTCCTTATGTCAAAAGTGCACCCCAAGGACTGTGGCAAGCAGAGTTGCGCAGCGGAAGCGTGCTGGGCCCATAACCCAGAGGTCGATGGATCGAAACCATCCTCTGCTATTTTTTTAGAATATTTCTTTTTCTTTGGTGCTGGTGGTGATTGTACACTACACACAGGCAAGAGCACATAACCCCCAAGAGTGTGCAACTCCAGCTATGGGGTCTGCGATGGCAGAACTTCACATCCGTGACGTGATGAACCCGTACACATTTTTTGCACCCTGTGCACGATAGATACAGGGTTGTACGCAACCCTGCTTTGGGTTCAACTCTCTTGTGGTCACTTTTCACTGCTTGCCAGAGTAAGCTTTTGAACCATGTCACGTGATGTGAAGTTCTGCCACCGCAGCGCTGTATAGAGATTGTGCAGGCAGTTGCATACTCTTGGCGAGTATGTATGCACTCTTGGTGCAGGTAATCAAAATAGACTACTATAGTACCGGAATGTACACATGGTTCAAGGCAACCAGCACCACAAATTGTGTAGGAACAGGAAATCATTAGCGTGGCGCCAGCACTCTTTTTTAGATTTTATCCAGCAGAATTCAATATCAATCCCAAGACACAATATAATTATGATGAAGTCTAAATTGAGCTAGCACGCCATCCAGGGATGGAGAAAATAGCTTACCCAGGTGGCATCTGCCATGACAATCCCATATCGGGTGAAAGGTGTATTGCTGTAGCACCATCTCCTGGCAGTGTACATACATGTACATACAAGGCAAATAATGTTTTTGGCGCCCTTATTCGACATCTGATACACACCAAATCCTACCAAATTCATTCAATACTAGTATTCATCAGTCAAGGAGTTGAAAAGGAGAAAAGTGTGAAGAAAAAAATGATCCATGCAGTGTGGGTTTCACGTAAGTTGGAACCAGGGTTGTACCCGAAGTGTCCTCCCCATGTTCACGCCAACATAGTATTGTACATGTAACGGGCAGTCACTCAGTCACTCTAAACGCCAGCGGCCATGTTCCTGAAAGCATAGCTCTACAGGATACACCGTACCTTTTGGTCCAGCATCAGTCGGCAGCAGCAGCTTTCCATCAGCCAACTGCAGAATAACGCAGGGTTAGCCGACGGCATGGTAAGCAAAGACAACAGCCCGGTGATCAGGCAAGCTACTGGACATCATTAGTCTTGGCTTATTGACACCGGAAATCATCTAATACACTGTTATGATCTTCAGGCATACGGTACGTGCACATATACGAGGAGTAGTGTTTCCGGCGGCATACTGTACGTGTGCATGCATAGCGGCCTGGTGTGTTGTGTTCATGCATAGCGGCCTGGTGTGTTGTGTTCAACTTCACGCATCCGCACATTGTGTAACTCAGTGCACCGGCAGAAGTGCCACCAATTGAAATGAGCTAACTTATCTCCACACTAACAAGAAGGAAACGGACCATGCACATTTCTCAGAGGAGGCCCTAGAATAAATCTACTATCTACATCACGGTCCCAGGCTCCTAACTAAGAAAGGCAGGCTGCCGTGCATGTGTGTAGCAATCATGCCCCCTTACAGCTTAGTTAACCTGCACCGAAAATCTGCATTATGTACCTCAATAACAGTCTCGACAGGCATGTGCTTCAAGCCGTGCTCGGAGAAGATCAGATCAGCCTGGCAGCACACAAGCAGGGGAGAGGGGCAGACAGACACATAGTTAGCACATTCAGCCTAAAAGTGTGCAGGATGGTTAAAAGCAGCCGAGTGCAGCCTAAGCTATCAGAGTATCAGTCGCCAACCCTTTGACAAAGGCAAGTTCACACATGAACAAAGTGTTGGATATCAAACCTGATCTATAATGTGCATGACCACCATGCACATTAGAAATCAGGCTTGATACCAGCTATAGTATAGCTAGTTGACTAGGCTAGGACCAGGCGATTATAGTGTATCGTGTTATAGCCCTAAGTCCGTCAGGCGAAATAGCACGTCATCGTACATTTGAGATCAGCGGGAAGAAGATGACGACGTCCATTAATTTAGTATCTGTGCACACGAATCTGCTGTGTGTGTGACTCTGTGTGTCAGCTATGATATCATCTTCTGTGGTTCCATACCTAGCATGTACGTCTGAACCATCCTGCAAAGTTTGAATGACGTTGGTTGAGCGATCGCTCCGCGAAATATACTTTTTGAAATTCTCTTCATAGTATATCTTCCACCATTGAAATTTCGAATTTCTTCAAAAAAAGTGCTGAGAGGGGTTGCTTGCAACCTCGATATGGCTTGTTCCAGGCATGCTTTGGAGCCATCTTCTGTTGAAGTAGTGGCGGGGATCTGCCCTGCAACTGCTACAACAAAAAATGATTCGATCTGAGAAAGGGTGAGACCGCGAATCTCGGTTGAATATTGAGTATTTCAAGCCTTTTCACGACGAAGATGGAGTTCTTTTTGGAGATGGACGTCGCGGCAAAGGACATGGTGTCCGACGTCTGGCGTCTGGTGAAGCCAGGGATCATTTGTCCAGTCAGGTCGGCAGCCTAACCGTCGGTAAGCTTGTGTTTGGATCCCGTTCTGCTCGATGTGGTAGATCACAAACAATTTGATATCGCACAAATTGATCTCAGCATCGTGCGTACGGTATTTTATATTCAGAAAATCCCAAAGTGTCTCTGTGTGGGCGTCCTATGCCACGAGAAACTCCAATCAGGCTCCTATGTCCTCTGCCTTCATGATTGAATGTCCACTTCGTTTGAACAACGAACACAACAATCGAGGACGGCTTTGCAATGAAAAATACAGCTATACTGGAGCTGAAAAAAAAGAAGAAAAAAACGTGCTCAGGATGAGACTCGAGTACACGCATACTCTCCCAGCAGGTGAAACGCAAATTTTTGTGAAAAATGCGTGACGCCGACTGACCAGTAATTTCGCCTGACGGATAAATGCTATACGGGTTGCTGATGGATGGGCTGCAGTATCCATTTCTGACAAACAAGCCGTTGAATGAGGGAGTGTCAGATAATCCAGGTTGAACCATATTGTCATGCAAGTTTGACAAAAGCAATAGGTTACGGGTCATGGGTCAACTTCTGAAAATGTTAGTTTACCCGGACCCTCACTCACTCCTGTGCTAACTCAATTCACTCCCTCTCCCACTTGCTTAGATATCCCTCGCTCGCTCACTACCTCAGTCACTCACTCGCTAACCCACTCACTCGTCCCCCATCCCCTCACTGATCCACTTTTTCACTTGATTACGCATTCGTTCGCCCATCCACACATTCACTCAGCATCAGTTCCTGCATTATAGTACTGTCAGCTTTCGGGGAACTGGGGGGGGGGGGTCAGCCTTGTAGCCTAGGACATTCTCATTTTCTTGTCCTATGGTCTATGAACAGTTGAGTCACTGTGTACACATTGGAATGCTGTGCATGGTGAAATTCTAGCCTGTTTGTTCTTCGGCATTATGTTCTCCGGCATCCGACTGTACTGTAACCCGATCCCCCAGCCTGAGCTCTAACCGTGCACAGAAGTGATGCAAGTGTATAATGTACTGCAATCTAAAAGGCATGTCTCACCCTGGACCAGTTATAACCACTGTCAGTTGACACACGCATCACCGTTGCTAGGTTACCAAAGGTCGCAGCGGCAGATAATCTGCATGCGTCGGTCAGCGCACACACACACAAACACATGCGAGCGCACGCACGCACATACACACACACACACACACACACATACACACACATGCGCACACACACACACACACACACACACACACACACACATGCACACACACACACATGCACACACACACACACACACACACACACACACACACACACACACACACACACACACACACACACATGCACACACACACACACACACACACACACACACACGCACACACACACACACACACACACATACAGAATGCAATACTCACAAATCAAACATATGTCCTTAGTAGACTCCTTACCAATTAACCAGTGGTGTTATGCTCTCACACAGACATACTACACAGACATACTACACAGAAATACTACACAGACATACTTCATTAGCAAGGGTACCTAAACCGGACTGTGCAACTCCGCATATGGATTTCGGAAAGTGCACCTCATTATTTGCATAGTTTTTGACATTAACGTCCCGTAAACTGATGATGCCACAGGTCTTACTGATGATGTCATAAGTCTTACTTATTACGCCAAAGGTCTT